ATTCAAGAGGAATAAAAGATACACTTTTAAATACGATAATTCTCAGCAATCTCAGATCACCCGTTACTCAATATCTTATTCGATGCTAATAAAATTTTCAGTATCATCGTTCAATTTTAAAAGATTTTTGTAGATTATTCTGGCAACTAGAATTCATTCCTGAAGCAATTTACCAGGATTTTAGAATACGAACCTTACTGCAAGAGCCAGATACGCCTGATTCGCATCATAATTTTTGTGGCATATTGCAGCCACTTTGCCAAGCTTTGACGCCCAAACCCACTCACCATATCCTTCTTCTCCTTTAGCTTGAAAATAGATTGATACAACCAGCTAAAAAGATGTGCTTTTATTTTTCAAAAAAATGGAACGAGCTTTTAATGAAAGAAATATGAAGGAAGTGGTGCGGAACATTTAAGACGCGGAGGGTGTGAAAAGCTGTTGAGGTAGCTTGTCGGAGCAATTACTCAGATTACCATCACGTTGTCCTTATATATCCTTGTCGGTAGTACTGGTTTTCGGCACTTCTGTTCGACCTTGTAATTGTCGTTACCAGTTCGTCGTAGAACAAGCCATGTCCCGAGTTTCGGCACAGTCGACTGTTCATCAAAATCGATTCTAACCTGAACATATCTTACGTCAGTTCTTTGTTTCTATACATAATGCAAGAGAAGTTCAGCGACTACTTACTCAACAACGATATAAATCAATGACTCTAGCTAGTACAGCAGTCCGTAATTCCACGAAATTGAAAAGAGGGTGACTTTCCCAGTCTTTTTAAAAAAGCTGGGAAACGATGAAAAACACTACACCTTGTATCCTTACTTCTACCATAAATTCAGCAGGCAACTTCTCCATTTTCTGATTTCAGCGTCTCTCATCAACATTATTCCACAAAAATATTTAACTGAATCTTCGTAAAGCAATGGCACTCTCGTTTGATACATACAAGAATCCGCTTTGTACATCTGCTTTTCTTCACAAGGTCAACTTCAGTGTTCTTCCTGGCGCATACTGTTTTAGTATCGTTCGTCCCGAACGATAAGTGCAGTGCAGCAGCGAAGATTCGCAGCAACTCGCTGCCATTTACCGGGTGAAGTTCCATGATTTCTTCGG